GGGGGGGGGTGAGGGGGATAGCCGTATTTGAAGTTCCACTAATTGCGAATGGTCTCGCTGCTGAAACTGGCGCGGGAAAGGCAATCCTCTCGGCAACGACAAACGTAACTCTGTGTATCGCGATGGTAAATACATGGATGCAACGCGGAGAAAGTCCGCAGAGTTCAGAAACCCAAAGTAGCAAGCGCCGCGCAGGTTATACAAAGCTAATGAATTTTTGTGACGGCGTGCTTGATGAAGCCAATAGTTTCTGTTAGCACTGTTGCGCGCGCATGCAACGTGTTACGAAATTTGCTGAAACTAATCGTCAAACTGTCGTGAAAGTACTAGTAGCATGAATAACGCTCCTGTTTTTTCTTTTTTCTTTTATTCTTTTTTTTTTTTTTTTCACGCCGAACCTCTAATCGGGCGTAACGACCCGTATTACGATACATTCGGAGTAATCAGAATAGAGAGAGAGAGTAAGCTATTTAATTTTGTTTCCTCCAACACTAATTATTACAATCTTCTTTTTAGGATTGAAAACGATTTTTATACGGATTATGTTATAGCAAATTACGTAAAATAAATTTATGCGCGCTTACATATTTCGATATCGAAGGTATCAAATTTAAATTGGTTGTACTCTCGATATAATTCCGTCGCTCCCGAGAGTTATTGATTTATATCACTTGCCGCCGGCAACCTGTATTTCAAAACAGCACGGCAACATTGTATGTACAGCGCGAAACAGCGCATTTTAGAACCGCGAAAGAACGATGCGGGAATCACGACCGCGTCCGCTAATTAATCACGCTTGGCAGTAATTCCGCGCAGCTCGCATCGCGCGCTCATTTCAGGATATGGTGGGTTTGTTTATAGCACCGGCTAACCGTAACATTAAAATGTCCGCTACTCGAATGTATCCAAATGATGGTATATCATCGATGCTGATAATATTTGCGGGACGACGCGGTTTCATCCTGTGTATATAATTATAAATTTAAGTGTCCTGTAGATGAGATAATTTACTCAACACAACACACATTGTACGATCGTTCGATGTATTACATATGTAAATATACTCGGTATATGACTCTTTTTTTATTTCAGCATTTTTTTGAAGTAAATTTTCGAAGAAAACAATTTTTTGACGGTAGAGAGAGAACGATCTAATGTTGGATCATAGATATTTCCTGCTTTTATTGTTTATCACGTACAACATGTATATTTATTATATTTATATTTATATATTTAATTTATATTTAGAGTATATTTATGATATTTACGTTTTATTTCGGGGAGATATTTTTCTATTTATATTTTATTGTATCCATACACACTTCTATGCTCATATATGCACTCATAGTACTTGAATGCGAGACTTTCATAGAACAGATTGGAAATTGTTAATCTTGGAAATAGCACAAAAGCATGCACCTAGTTTAAATAAGTACATGCGATCGGCATCTTTGTGATAAACGGTCTAATAAGGTCGGCGATAGAACATTTGCTCCAGATGCTTTCCAATCGCTTTTTTATATAAATATATAAAAGAGGATTGGATATTGCATAAATAATTGCTGCTTGCACTCTAATCTTACAACTATTAAATTAACGCATAATGTAAAGTAAAAATGTAAAACTATTACAGCGTCAGGACTAGCGTTAATCGCATTTTTTTTAATTCTTGCTTTTCCATGCGCTTTGCAGCTCTTAGCATAAGAACTTTACAGCGCAAGGATAGGAGAGACTAAACTTCGTAGGGACCATCAACTTTAACATTATTTCTACGAGAGAAAGACATTAATAAAATTTAATGTCGAATTACTACTTTATGCATAAACGCAGAATAATAGAATTCAAATGTTATTATTTCACTTTGAACGATAATTGCAATAATTTGTTACTATGCGAAACATTCCGTCATTTCGTCTGTGAAATTTTAGTCATACTATGTTTTACTCTGATATGCCATTAGCTCCATCGTATTGTAATATTATAGTCAACTCGCTTTATTAACGCGTATTATTGAGAATCCTGCATATAATAATCGCTACTATCAACTAGCCCAAGCCGCAACATGAACGGACTTGCTGGAAAAATTTTATCAGATCCAAAATAAAGATATGTGCCAGAGATGAAATATTATATCGAAATATTATTATCACAGAAAATATATCGGATGCGCATATTTGTATATATTATATCACAGTAATCATTAATTATACTGTGAAAAGTATTTTTATAGTTCATCATTAGTATCGTTTATTAGCGCCCGTCTAATTATTACCGCGCATTAATGATTCATTAAGCGAACAATTCGTTTTTGTACCGTCGCGCTTTAAGGATTAAATGGACACCGTAACAACAACCGTTCACGACAATTTCCATCCTCATAAAACGGATACTCCATCAACGATTTTTACGAGCCGATATATCAGGTCTACCGGAAAGTTTTGTCCGTTTTTGGAATAAAACAAAATACAAATTTTTATTACCGTCAACCCATTCAATTCTATCTCTGCAATGTTTCAATTATCTGTCCTTAGTATCTAGAGTGTATCGGTCATGATTCACTGTTATATCGGAAATGCGACCCTCATTCCGAGTCCACGTCTTCCTTCCTCGTCCTATTCTACCGCCGTCTTTTGCGTTTAATGGCTCGTATGAACCTTCCATCGATGTACGCAATGCGTCGAGCGTAGCACAAGAACATTGTAACATCCGAGCAGCATTGCTTAACATTCTACAGTCCGCGCAAGGGTGGAATTTGCAGGAGATGTGAATACCGGTCTGCGTCCGCGACGTGTACTACACGAATTCTCTAAGCTGGCAGTCTTGCTCTTTTCCTGTAAAAGCACGTGGTAATCATGCAACTCTCTCCCGCACGAATGGGACTGGGACTGTTGCTTCCCTGTCGTAAAAGCATGCGACAGTCATGAAATTTGTCGGAACCTTCGAGTAGTAGAACAAGTAATACTCTTTTCCTTGAAGTTTTATAAATTCTGTTATCGCCGTCGATATTGGTAACACATGTAGGAATACTTGAATGTATCTGATCGATCATTTAATCGAACTTATAATTAAATTCTGACACATAAAATCGCCCGCTTAATGGATTCTCTACATTAAATAAAAAAAACCGATATAATCGATTAAAAAATCTATAATGCAGCATATAATTAAGAAAAGTATTAACGTTAAAATTTGCATTAAAAAATAACAGTTAGCTCGTAATAACGAGCGCATATTATATTTGCGCACCTTTTTTCTCATTTTGCATTCGTTCTTCATGTACATTTTAATTCAGCCAACGGAGAAGCATACTTTTCTACTCGGAGATGTTCATTTCTCGAGCGGTTAAATCTGTTTTCAGAACGACGCGATAATCTCAATTTTGTCCCCCTTTTCAGATCGCATTTCTAAAGGAAAACGAGAAAATCCATGCTACTCAAAACTAAAAGCCACAAAATCCCGCATTCGTGCTGCCTCCCAAAGGTCTTCTTTTCAACAATACAAAGTAATGATACGCTAAGCCATGACTTTCGTCATTTTTTTTAGTACAAAGCTTGACTCTGCGTACGCAGGCTTTTCAGAGGTATTAAAAGAGGCAAATTACATCGCCTGTAAAATATCATTTATCTCTTTTTTTTTTTCTTTAGAAACGTCTTAAGAGAGCGAACGATACCGATCTTTCATTGATTCCGCAATTAGATCCAAACAGCAATATTTCTGAATATATAAATTGCAAAAGAATTCATTTATAACACAAGAAAAAATCATCCATATGTGTTCTTTCAAAATGATGATTTTCTTGAAAATATGATCTATAAAATATTTTGCAAATATATGCACACACACGTCAAATTCGAAATAATTTTTAATAAAATCGGATGTGACACCATCCGATTCCACAACTATGTATCTTATGCATTCACAATTTTCGTTTACTCTATCATTTTGCTAGTTTATCGCCATTTAGTGTAAACTAAAACATTTTGGTTAGGCTGACAGTAGGCAGCCGCCAACATCTGGATCGACTACTTACAGACAGTGTATGTTTTCCGGCGACGCCGTAGAGTCTCGAGCGAGTTTTCACGCGCCTGTTTATTTAAGCAACGAACGCGCGTATATTCGCGCACCCACGCATGGAAAAACATTACCGGTCGCACGTGCTTCCATGCTTGCATTGGCAAGTCAGCTGTTATATAAATAAGCATAATCCTCGTCGAATAAAACATTTCTTTGTGAGATTCACGTTTCCTTCACAGAGCAGCTATTTTTTCTTTTCAATTGTTTATTAAAAGCTATGCAGAAATATACAAAGCGGTATCATATATTGTACAATGATATTAAATTAATATCGTTAAATGTTCGGTTCGACGGAGCTTTAATTGAGCTCGCGATATTCGGTTAATTTTCTATCTTCATCTTTTTCAGGCTAAGAAGGTAGAAATCTAGTTGATGAAGTCTCAGTAATGCCTCGGGGTAGAAGATAATTTTCATGAAATTTATACAGTGGAAAGATCTTGATACTCTCCGTGTTATACGGAAGTTTTCACAAAATGAAAGAACTAGCCGGTACTTCTTTTTTATTTTTAGGGCAAAAAATTTTTTTCAGTATCGGCTCTTCATTTATTCAAAAAAGAAACTTGATGTCTTCATAAGTGAATTATGAATAATACGGACATCTTTTATAAATTACTGTGAATGCCAATTTTAACAACCGTGGACGAAATAATTGGAAAGTAATTTACAGTTTTTGTCCACAGGCTGTGGTAAATTAATTACTACCAAGTTCTATACCTAATATGAGATATATATATTTAGAATAAATAAGATTTTTTAAACCGCTGGAACTTGTCCGATCACGCTATATTTTTTTTCGGCAATGTGTAATAAAACAAATCTTTATCGAATGGCTTCTCGTTCGTAGTCACACAATCCTAGTGTCCACGTGTCATTACCGAAAAAGGCAATATTGGCCTCAAACCTTGTCGAAATGGTCGCCATGGCGCAAATAACGCGACACAAATCATGCGATTCGTATTCAGCCACAATCGCGCGATACCTCTTACACTCATCGGCAGGCCGGCTTTCAAAGGGAACCGGGATGTGCATGGAGGTCGCGGCTGGCCACCGTAATTTCGCGAGAACCCGCGTAGCATAATAAGGTACCCACAAGCGACTATCGGGAAGTAGTCGAAGCCGCGTTACACTCTGTTATTCCGCTGTGCATGCAGAGAGAGAGAGAGAGAAAGAGAGAGAGAGAGAGAGAGCGACGAGCGATGGTCAGATCAACGACCTGCAACCCAGGTCACTACGATACAAAGCAGACTGGCCTCTCTTTTGCCTATCTACTTATGTTTGAGAAAGCTATGAACTGCTTCACAAAGAGCTTTCACTATAATTTCCGCGATGAGATGTTTTTATGAAGAATAAAGATATTTTTGTACTTTCCATCAGCACGATGTTCGTCAGCGTTTTAAATAATTGAAAAATATCGCTTGCGATAATTAATGCAAATCCGTTTATTTAAAACGACTGGAATGTATTCCGTGACTTTTCGTTATGATCACTCTGCGCGATATTCAAACATTGTTGATATTGTTAACACAGTATACAGCATATCACGCTACTGAGATCAAGTGTGTAACATGCGCTTGTCTCGCCTGACATTAAATTTGCAGCAAATCTGTTTTGGATATTACGTTAGCATGCAAGGAAACTGACAACAAAACACACTCCATGTCGCGAACTTAAGCGGACAACTGGCTGAAAATTCAAACCTATCTCGATGCCTATAGTTACCGTGGAAATATAATCATTGCGTGAATCTGGATGGCATCACTGATGACATATCACATACCTAAGGGATCTAATGTTGCAACAGTAGATATTGGTAAATATATCCTTGAGATGGTATAATCCATTAACGCATGACAATTGAATATTGAATATCTACAGTAAATGAATAAACTAGTGATAGAAAATAAGAATCTGATGAAATAGACAGAAAGTGACATCCTTATATTTGAATATTTCAATCAGGAAAAAGAATCGTTCATCAAATTTTCTATTTATAAATGAGTTTCTCTCTTCCTAAATCAAAAACACACGATAAAAAATAACGTAAAAAATATTTCGCGCGTATATCGGCTAAGATGATATCTTCACCTTTCGCATTGATCGCGCTTCTTTCACTTTTCACGATCGCCGTCCGTGTGTTATTGAGCTTACGTTAGTGCGCGTTAACGAGACAGCGCTGAAGCCTCGTAAACGCTTGCCATGAAGGCTTGATGTAGCGAGCGGTCAATTTGCGCGTACTACACACTACCGGAGATGAGCAGATACACATAAAACGGCGCGAAGGAGAGACGAAGACGGAAAAGCCAGTATGGCATCTACACGTTTGACCTGTAACGAGGACAACTCGTCCCTGGCCTCCTTCGAGGAAAGTATATTTCTTCCCGACTCGCGCGCCCGGTTCTCGCGGTTTTTTGCCAAGGTGTACTGCCACCGACGAGACTCGCCAAGGCAAATTAGTCAAATTCGTAAATTGGGGAACGGTAAACAAAACTTGTTCCGCCAAAACTTTCGTCTCCAAATTCGAGATCTGTCGTGTTCGATTATTAGAATTATCATTATTAATGTTACTTTCTGTATTTTTTCTGAGAGAATACAATGCATCCGAGTGCGCGTTCTCACGATGATGTTTCTAAGAAACGTACGTGATGTATATATGTTTGTGGTTTGCGGAATACAATACCTATTTACCGTAAACAATAGCTGTCCATTTCCAGCGTGATTTCTTCGGAAGTAGCTGGTGGTCCGACTCTCGAGTATTAGATGCCGTCCGTACGACGTTTTGCGATCGATATCGTCGTATATATTGTACATACACAGTACACCGCGTGTTTTCGCGAATGTCTACGCGAAGGTAAACCGCGCGTGTCTCTCTCTCTCTCTCTTTTTAACGTCGTGGCTTGAGAAATGGACGTACGCGAGAAGCGATCGTAAACGTCGTGTTTTCGGCAAAGGAATCTCCCACGTGGGAACGGAGGAGTTTGCCTTCTCACTTTACTTCGTGTCCGCCGGTTAAAAACAGTGTTGAGAAAATCTTGTACCGAATTTCCACCCTTTTCGTTTGTCACGTATCTTAGTTTGTCTAACAACTTTAAGAAACCGATAGAAATAGCCTTTAGCTTTTCCAATACTGTATTTTAGAAGTTAAAATCTAAAAATATTTTATATAAAATCTAACCAGAATTGATTCTAATGCATTTTTCCAGTGATTTTGCAAGAAATAATTGTAAATCCAAGAATAATTAAACAAAAGAACTAATAAAGTTGATTACATTGAAGATGTTCCATGATTCAATTCATGATGCATACATATCCATAGAATGGGAAGATCCTTCCGTAGTTAGATCTCTCAAGGAGTCATTTCCGATTCCGTTAGGTAAACGAAGAAGGGGTTTATTCTCGCTGCACCCTCTCTCGCCGGTGGATTCCACGCGCATATTAATCGATCTAGCACAGTCGAGAGGTCCTTCGGTGAGAAAGTTCGGTCGGCGACGGCAAACCAATCTATGAAAGGCTGCGAAAGCGCCCGATCGCTCGCTCGTTGTAGGTAGGTAGATAGGTTCTCACACGACCGCAAACTATGATGGACATCGTCATTAAATTCGACTTCAAGCGCACGTCGTAGGTGCTCCCCCTCGCTCCCCCTCGCTCCCCCTCTTATCTCTCTTCCTAGTCCTTTCCTCCATGGCGACGGACCGCCATGTATGCGTCGTATACATGATCTGTGGACGTTGCGAGGGCTGAGTGAGCTTGCACCAGAACAGCCGAAGAGAGAGAAAGAGAGAGAGAGAGAGAGAGAGAGACAGACAGAGAAAGAGTGACTCCAGCCAGAGGGAGAGAAATTCGAGGGGATAATCCGAGAAGGAGATGGGTGTTCTCGATATGATTAATGCTTCGCATGCGTGTTCATATGTGGAGGACAGCTGTGAGTGACTCGAGCTCCGCCCAACTACCACCGTCGACATTCGACCGAACGCACATCCGCAACAAGAGAGAGAGAAAGAGAGTGAGCGGGCTCTTCTCTCCTCTTCACTCATCTTTCACGCAGGAATACGCGCCTGTTATTTCGACTACGTTGCACTCGTGTTGCAACGCTCGCGCGAGCGATATGCGCCCTGCCCTGAATACACGAC